ACGCTCATGCACGCTTGCTGGAAGTCCAAGCCCCTAGCCCACAAAACCTCCTTTACCCCCTCTTTCCAACCCTTTCGAGGACGACCCCTACCCCTCCTTCCTTCCCCTATAGATTTATATGCTTTCCATGTCATTCTACTTTGATCCATTCTCTCTAAATGACCAAATCACCTCAACAACCCCTCTATATATATAAATATATATATATAAATATATATATAATATATATAAATAATATATATAAATATATAAATATATATATAAATAATGTACCGAATATGTAAAACTGGTCAATTAGCAAGAACTCATTTAAAATTAAGTCCTTTCTAAAATTTTCTCTTATACGTTTAAAGATATATTTTTTTCATTAATGTTAATGTAAAAAAATTTAATTTTGTTCCAAAAGACTCTTAGAAAAGTTACCTAACCTTATTATAACAAGAAAAATTTATTTTGGCCTAACCCAACTAAATATATTTTAGATTTGTTTACAATAATTTAATACTAAACAAACACAGTGAAATATATTTTTTTCGTTACGTTCAGAATGATTTTGGCGAAATTATTGCATACACAAATTTTCACTTGTCTTATATGGCAAGATGAGCGTTGCTATTTAAGCCAAAATCGCAAGCTCTGCCTATTCGGCACGATATATATATATATATATATATATATATATATATATATATATATATATATATATATATATATAATGCAAAACAACCATTGTGAAAGAATAGCGAAATTGTTGATATAAAGGTGGCAGATAAGGTACATGTTGTTACGTGTGTATCACCGATTATAAGGCGAAAATCTCATCCAGCTCCTCAGAGCTGGGGCGTGTGCTCAAAATACAGCAGGCATTACCCCTTTGAACAGCCGCACTGAGCCGCTGGAACAGAAAACTAGCTGCCCTGGGATCCCTAGTTACCCTGATGAGTCTTTTTCCCAGCTCCTTAAGGAATTTGGATGCACTCTTTCCCTATGAGCCAAGGGTCTCTGAGCCTATGGGAACAAACATATAATGATGGGCAAGTTCTCCATATTTTCTAGACTTTTGGGACTCCCTGAAGCTGGCAACTGCCCCTCCTTCCTCTCTGGTGTATTGGAGATAGGTATCAGCCAAGGTAGATGCACATGTATAGTCCCACACCACCTGCTTCCCATCTGTCCAGGCTTGAAGGGTGATACCATCTGGACGCTTCTGGTTGCCATCAGATCTGCATAGTTGGGGTGGCTCCCTTACTGCTGGGCATTCAGCTGTTGTGAGGCTCCTCTTGATGTCATTAACCTCCTCATGTCTTGCAATCTTTCTCTCGGATTTAAGGCACACAAGAACATGGTACCCGAATCGGTCTGCTGCTTCACTGCCACAAATACACCTGTGTTCGGCGAGAATAGGGGCGGCAAGTCGAAGGGCAACACCGATGCGAATGGTCTGTGGGTCGAGGCGTGTGCCAAGGCTGGAGTTGGGAACAGCCAACAGAAAGTCCCCAGCATGAGGGGCTCTCACTGCCAGGAGGCGGGCTCTATCCTTCCCTGACACACTCTGAAGCATTGTTGAGGCTATATTTTCCACTATTGGACCATCCCAGTGCGATTGTTTGTAGTTGTTGGGGGGAGCAGGTCTGGTTTCAGAGCCCGTTAGATTATCCCAGATCATTGCTCCGTCAATGAATTTTTGGTCCTGGACTCCAATCTTGTCCCTAAGATGTTCAGGGAGAATCGCTGCTACAAGCTCTCTGGATGCAATACACGAGGACAGAAAAGCAGGTAACGCAATCTGTGATGACTTGCGGACACCAATGCCTCCTAGTATGACTGGAAGTGTAGCTTGGTTCCACTGCCCGTCTTCTAGAGTAAGGTTAAGTACTTTCGTAAAAATCTGCTTCAGAATACTGTCATATTCGTGCAGTATAGGGTTATCATATGAAGGTGCACATCTTAGGAAATATGTCAACCTGGGCAGACTCAAGCACTTTGTGAGAAGGTACAAGGCATCGTGGGTGTCCAGATTGCCTATTCGTTGTTCCATTCTCCTTAACTCTTCCAATTTCTTCCTGAGAATTGTGTCAATGGCATTGCTTCCCAGAGGTGCTCCTAGCAAGACACTATTTGTGGGGGCAATGACTGCTGCTCCTGGTAGTTTTGATCTCACTGCATTTATCACTCGTTGACTGACTGAGATTTCACATTTGGATGGATTCAGGATGAGACCCATTTCCTGTCCCCGTGTCATTACCTGTGTAAGGTCATGTAGGAGGGACTCCTTTGTACCTGCTAGTGTGCCATCATCTAGGAACTAGATGTTTAGCTCGCTGGTCAGTCTGACTGCGATTTCCCTAACTGCTATACAGAAGAGAAATGGTGCAAGAGGATCTCCTTGTTGGACACCCTCCGATGATGTGATTTCATGCTCTCCAAAGAGAAGCAGTGATTCCTTGCTATACCTAGCTGAAACAAAAGGGAAGAGACTATGGAAATGTTCTTGTACTGCTGCTAATACCACGTCTCTTTTCAGGAGATTGAACGCATTCTTAAAATCTAATTTTACCACTGCATTGTCCTCAGGCAGGTTGTTGATATACGCCCTTGTTGCATGAACCGCTGCTTCACTTCCTTGAGAGACCCCAAAGCCAAGCTGGTTTGGTTGAAGCATCATGGCTGCCTGTGCACGAATACTTCGGACAGCAGCTTTGGATGCGAGGCGGCGTAACGTGTTGCCTACTGCAATTGGCCGAATTCTTAAGTGCACAAAGTGTTGCACCAAAAAAGAAAGGTCTAATTTCATCAGGAATCAGACCAGCCAACGAATTGTTGACGAACATTGTGATCTCTGAAAGCAGTGTCTCTGCAATTTCCCCAATAACTGGATTAACCATTTCCTTTAAATGCTGTGGCCTTATTCCAGTGTAACCCCCAGCAGAGCCAGATAGGAACGACATTATTGCTTTGTAAATGTCTGAGTCTTCCACAATCAATGGTTCCATAGTGGGGACAGAGGTGTTGGAACTGTTGGTGCCACTGGTTTCCCTGGTAGGGTGCTTTCCTCTAAGTGCTTCAGCCGTGTCAGCATCCCTGGGAGCAACTGTATCTTTACTGGTAATAATTACTGGTATCCACTCGTCATTCTTGAGCACATGATAATATTACTTGTATAAACGCTGCTTTTATCTTGCAGTAACACTCGTCATTCTTGTGCACGTTGTGACATGCATTCTAAGCATAAATCTTTTTAAGGTAATATTGGTGTAGGTCACTAGTGGTCATTGGTGGTGGTGTTAATGCATCTGTTAGGTCAGAGCAGGTGGCATGGGTGTTGATCATACGAAGATCCTAACGTTAGATAGCCTAACCTAAGATAGTCTAACCTAACCTAAGATAGCCTCACCTAGCCTAACTTAACCTTACGGTGCTTAACCTAACATAACCTAGCCCAACTTAACCTAACCCAAATAAAAAAAATATGGGGGATCGTCTGTGTGAGGAATCTACTTACACATCAGTCACTAACAGTGAAATGCTGACTGTGTATAAACAGTCGGAATTCCTATTGTTTCTTAATGTGATGGGTTGCATGCTGAGTGCCTTTTCAACTTGGCTGTGTCTGTTAGTTACCCGCTAGCCCCTTCAGTGTCTCATGAGTTGTTTGATAACTGTGTCGTGCTTATTGTGACCTTGATTCAAGATCATTGATCTTGAGTCCGGGCCACTGTGACTTTGAGTCTCATCAGAGAAAGACGCTACTTGACTGTGCTCTCAGTAATTGTAAACACGCGAAGTGGGTTGTGATGACCCAAATATAAAGTTGATTTAATAATACTCATTCATTTAAACTTGGTTCCGATAGCGCTTCCACAACCCAAATATTATCCAGTTAGTTTACCAACTCTTATTAATCGGGACACTTGACTGGTTCAGTTGACTGTGTGTGTATGTGTGTGTATCTATCTGCTAGGTCAATTACCAAGGCTTCATTGTTTCTTAGAATTAGTCGTTTGCACAGCTGTTGTCTTGGGAATGAGGTCAGATGGCCACTGTGAATTGAGATGATCCTTCCACATGCCACTTTTGTGTTAGCAAGTATTGTAGCTTTAAAGCTTCCCTGGTCAAACTTGGATCAAGCAGGGTCTTGTGACTTGTACGTATAGTGTAGCCACACTGTGCGTGTTTCCATAATGTAACTATAATATACAATATTGCAGCCACAGTGTTCCCGCATTGTAACTATATTATACTATAATGTAGACACACTGTGGGTGTTCCCACAATTGACTATAACATACGATAGTGTAACCACACACTGTGGGTGTTCCCACAATGCGACTATAACATACGATAGTGTAACCACACACTGTGGGTGTTCCCACAATGCGACTATAACATACGATAGTGTAACCACACACTGTGGGTGTTCCCACAATGTAACTATAACATACGATAGTGTAACCACATACTGTGGGTGTTCCCACAATGTAACTATAACATACGATAGTGTAACCACACACTGTGGGTGTTCCCACAATGCGACTATAACATACGATAGTGTAACCACATACTGTGGGTGTTCCCGCAATGTAACTATAACATACGATAGTGTAACCACACACTGTGGGTGTTCCCACAATGCGACTATAACATACGATAGTGTAACCACATACTGTGGGTGTTCCCGCAATGTAACTATAACATACGATAGTGTAACCACACACTGTGGGTGTTCCCACAATATAACTATAACATACGATAGTGTAACCACACACTGTGGGTGCTCCCACAATGTAACTATAACATACGATAGTGTAACCACATACTGTGGGTGTTCCCACAATGTAACAATAACATACGATAGTTTAACCACATACTGTGGGTGTTCCCACAATGTAACTATAACATACGATAGTGTAAACACACACTGCGGGTCTTCATGTTATTTTTTGTTGCACACAGCAAGAGTGAACAGGTTTCTGAGGCGTTGCATGTGTTGATCTTTACAGACTGCTCTGAGTGTGTTCTTCCAAGAAGCTGTACCTAACGGCGGCGCCTCTCAGCACCACCTCAGCCACGTGAGTACCTCAGCTGGTAGCACAGCATCACTCATCACTCAGCTGGTAACACAGCATCACTCATCACTCAGCTGGTAGTACAGCATCACTCAGCTGGTGTATTAGCAAGTGGGAGGAGGAAGGGATGGAGGGTGTCCTAGGAACCAGGGGGAGTGGAGAATGGAGGGTGTCCTAGCAACCAGGGGGAGGGGGGGAATGGAGGGGTACCCTGGTAACGAGAGGGATGAAGGGTGCCCTAGCAAACAGCGAATGAGTGTCCGTCCTAGTAACCAGTGAGAGGAAGGGTGTCCTAGCAACGAGAGAGAGGGAGGACAGTGTCCTAACAACCATTGGGAGGGAACCTGAAAGGATGCTTCCTGGAGTGAATTTGTCCTGGTGGATCAGGTTCCCATTTTTAACATCAGCAAAGATACCGAACGGTTGTGCTTGTGTCTTATTCGTTCTAGGAACTAACTTATCTAGAGGTTGCAAAATACAGACGTTCTCTAGATTCTTGGAACAGATGGAATGTTCACGTGCCCTATAATAATATAATAATAATAATTTATTATTATTATTATTATTATTATTATTATTTCTACAAGTACATGATACAACATATAAAGACCATTGCTAATTTTTTGGTGTTTTTTTTTTTTTAAGTTTAACTTTACCATTTTTTAAACATTCTCAGTAACATTTTTTCGTTTGTTTTCTCACAAATTATTGTTTATTACTGGGAAATACTTGTGTAATGCATCTTGGGCAACGTTCACTGGACTATTTGCATGCGTGGGTGACGTGTGTGCAATGTTACCGAGGTCATTCCCAGACTTTGTTTCCGTGAGAGAGGTTTAGACAGGCTCTGATCACCTTCAAGAATGTCAACAGTAGTGTATGTTAGAAGATGCTTGGTATATATATATATATATATTATATATATATATATATATATATATATATATATATATATATTATAAGACACTTGTGGAAGATTTACGTATCTTTATTCTGGAAACGTTTTGCCACACAGTGGCTTCTTCAGTCCAGTGTAGAGAAAAGGGAAGTTGAGGAGGAGTTTGAGGTAATCAGTCCCTCAGCCTGAAGTCGATGTGTTCAGTCCATCAGTCTTGCCAGTCTTGACAAGATTGTCAAGACTGATGGACTGAATACAACAACTTCAGGCTGAGGGACTGATTACCTCAAACTCCTCCTCATCTTCCGGCTTTCTCTACACCGAACTGGAGAGGCACTGTGTGTGAAATGTATCCAGAATAAAGATTCCCAAATGTTTCGCAAGTGTCTCATTTATCAACTTGTTGGTTTTCTAAACAATATATACATACGTTTGGTACAGGTAATCAAGTGTGTTGATGCCATTTTGACACTTTAATCTCGGACTAGTATATTATTATTATACATCGTATTTTGCCTAGATGCTGGTGAGGAGTTCTTGATCTAAGAAAAAGCGCCATGTGACCCCTACGGGTTTAGCGTTTTCCTCCGATTAAAATATAACAGTTGTGAATGGCATCAGTCATCAGTGGTTGTTGCATCGTATGAAGTGGATGGAAGGTGTTATGGGTTAAAGCTGTGTACACACAAATTTCTGTTGTATTCTGTGCAATAACTGGAAAATGTATCTTGTGGTCAGAGTTAAACTTCAAGTGTTGATGTGTTTTCGTCAAGGTGAACAATATCATGTGCCAATTTTATTAATCAAATTGGTTTCTGTGAAATAATTGGTTAATGTGTCTTCTGATCAGAAATTAGTCACAGTGTTTGACTTTCTTCGGTTTTCTTAGGTTAAGTCAACTTAATGTCTTTCATATATCTGTAACGTGTGTGTGGTCTCATTGCCATTGATAAAAATTTGCATATGTAAGACTTACTCAAAGCTGGTCAATCTTACTTAAAGAAAAATTTGGTTTGATTTTTGTCAGTGTAGGTCCCAGTTTGCTTTATTGTGGAAGAAATTGGGAAATTGAAATACTTCTTTTCCTGCGATAACTTCTGAATGTGGCGTCTGATTAGCTTCAACCTTCCATGCTGATAACTTGATCTAACTTTTGGTATATTTGAATGGTTTGAATTAGATTTTTATTGAAGAAATTTGGATATTAGTTTCTATATGATGACTTGTGAATGCCCTATCTGATTCCTTTCACATCTTCAGCGCTAATATTTAACTGCATTATCAACTTCTGCCGCACTCTGCACTGTTCAAATCGTGTACGTTGAAGCAGAAGGGTCTGGGATTATGGAATTAAGGTATACCGTTCTCGGATCGTGCAACAACTGAAGTACATGTAATTCAACATGATCTTCAGTTTGTAAGGGAAGAACTGAAGCAGTAGGGAAAGAGAGTCACTATAAGTTAATTGATGTGATGCACAAGTCGAATTCCTCTTACCAGGACTACGAACCAAGTAATTCACATTACTTATTGTTTTAACAATTTCTAATGGTCCAACAAACTTCACTTGTAAAGCATGTCCTGAAACAAACCTGTTCACTCTACCGTATAGCGAGCAGTAATAATGGCAATCTCTCGAGAATTCTCGCTAAACACTTCAGAGTCTAGAAGAAGCGTTCCAATGCTTCTTGTGACTGTGGGTGATAACTGGTAGACAGAACAGAAGTGATTTCCAGGTTAGATAAGGCTTCCCAATTTTTTTTAAGTGAAGTTAGATCCTTGACTGAGCTTCTCTAGAAGTCTCACCCGAGAGAAGAATCGTTCCAGTGAATGAACAGTCGAAAGGGAGTTGATCCTTCTTATAGTGGTAGCTTCAGGATAGCGAGTTGAACAGTGCATTATGGTAAATAGGTACTGGTTGCCAAGCCTCGTCCTAAGAAGTGGACCAACACGGTAAGTCGAGAAAATGGTTCTCCAAAAGCAGGTATGGGCACAAGTGGTGCCGGTTTTGAAGACTGATTTGTCTTGCCAGTCACCTAACAGTATGACAATTCTTAACAAATGAAGTATCCAACTGTCTCATCCTTGGTCATGTCAAGTTTTTAGCCAGGTTGACCAGTCTTTTTCACACCAAGATGTCAGTTTAGAGGACTGTTGTGAGTTAACTCCCTACCTTGTATACGAAACGACTCAGGCAATACAATAAGGTACTTCACAGTTATAATAAAACGAGGAGTAAAATCTGTCAAAACAGCATTGATGTAGTAGCGATGATCCAAGCCCTTAGATTTGCCCTCAGTGCAATATTTCCGAGTTTCTCTAGTGATGGATCAGTGAACTCTTCCTTAATAAAGTTTTAGTGTGTAAGTGGAGTGATACCAGTCCTCTCCCTACTAGGAGTTTTCTCACTCTTAGTCGCTATGCAGACTAGGGAGGAAATACGTCACTGGGTAACATGCTCAAACCTAGCTCGCCAGCATCCACAGAAGGAGCAGGTGGCCAAGCAGCTTCCTGTACTCGTGCCACAGCACGCATCACAACGCTCAAGGATTAGATGTATGAGCATCCAGGACACAAGTTTACTCGCTTGAATTATCCATGACCATGGGGTCAGTACGAATACTAGATGCTGCCATGACATCATTTCCAGTCAGAAGGCTGAGCATCCTTCATCGGAAATTTCCTGAAATTCTATCTACTATATATCCAAAATAATAACTTGTTTCAGTATATATTTTATTTAGAGGTACTTTCACAATATTCCCTCCATGGGGTTCTAGAAGCACATCAATATTTATATGTTTTATCTGACACGGGAAGAACGTTATCTTTTAACGTCAACAATGCACCTGAGTCACGATATTATTATTTCTTTTACATTTGTATAGTTCATGTCAACCTTACCAGTTGAATAAAAGTGCCTCATTGCAGAGCGCACATTTTCCGCGGACAGTTTATCCTCTCTTATTCATCTCCATTGCATAGGGACATTAGGCGAGGAGAGGTCAATTGTGGCCGTGAATTTTCTCCCATAGGAGACCAGTTACATATTAGGCTGATGTCCTTGTTGGTGTCATTGTTGATGTCTGTTGTTCTGGAGGGTGAGTATACACAGCAGAGATAGGCGCCCCATCCTGTTTGGTATGCCTCTGTAAAACTTTTTTTTTTTTTTTTTTTTTTTTTGCAATAGAAATATTTAAGGTCTCTCCTTCCTTTACCTTTATTCTGTCTCCAGAGACTTAAGTACACAAATAAACCGCACATATTAGAGAGGAGCAGCTTACGACGACGTTTCGGTCCGACTTGGACCATTTACAAAGTCACACTGCCGAAGATTTCGAAACTTCGGCAGATTTTGTAGTGGAAGGTGGATGACGATACTGAGGTGAGGAATTACCCAAGTTTTTCACCTGTAAAGATTCAGTGGTAGACCCTACATCCCTTAGCGTTTACTCTTACCTTAATGTAAACCTTTGTTTGGATGAGTTTTTTTTTTTTTTTTTTGTAAAATCTTATGAGTTACCTCATAAGTATGAGCTCTGGTAGCCATTTCCGACACTTCGGAAAAGGATGGTCTATCATATATTCCTGAAGATTTGGAGGAGGACAACTGTACAATTCCTCCTACAAAATGAGCTCGAAGAACTCATTATAATCAGCTTGAGTGGCAGTACATCATCTCTGATAGACAGTTTTCTTCTCTTTAGCATATTTAGTATAGGTCTGCCCTTGCTTCTTCCTCAGTGTACGAAATGTATGTTGATAGCAAAGAGGAATTAGCTCATATTAATGAAGAACAGCTTCTTTAACTTTATCATTGTGCATCTCATATGGTAACAATGTTGAATACTGCTGACTTTTTCCAGTTAAATCAGTGGTCCTTAGGTCAGCTTAATGAAGCTGCCTGACAGGAGATTGTAGACCATTAAGTTCCTTAGGACGAGTTCCAGTATCCCACCTCTGAGGAGGCTCTTCTCTGGCTCTCAAGAGACTGCATATCTCTATGACTATGAGTATGTAACTCAGTGATTTGTGTCAATTTGTCTTGAGAAACGAGGCATGAGACTGAGGTACTTGTGTTTAACCCACAGTATGAGGTGTAGTA